CAGGGAACAGCAAAATAATTGCTTGCATTGGAGGTGTTTGTAAAGATAAGTAGAAATTGCCCGAGAACCATTTTTATTTCATAAGAAAATTTGGAAAGCTTTTTTGTAAAGTTATGCACTTTAAGTCATCTCCCTCTTTAAGAAGGGATCGCAAACATAAATCAATTTGGTGCTATGACTAATTTAAAAGAATTACCAGTTGAATGGTTAGTATTAACAGGCATGTGGTGCCATTCAAAATTCCTTAAGAGCAAAAGGAGTCTCATTCTTCTTTCTTTTTCTTTTGCTTTCTATGCTGTTGGACCCATCTGACCAAAATGTATCACTGGTAGGAGGCATTTGTCCACAAAACAGACATTTCTAAACTACAAGAAAAAACATACAAGGCACCTATTAAAAACATCTGAAACATCTGCTCCTGATTCCTTCTCATTTTGTCCAATTTGTGTTCACCTGGTGCTCCAAGTCCATTGTAAAGCCCCAAGACAATACATGTGGCTGGCTGAGTCAAGACTGTCTTAAGAAAAACCAATAAATCCGTAAAAATCTCCTAACTTCACTAATACCGTAGTACACAACTTGGTGGTCTGAGGGAAGAGAAAGCTTTTACTTTTCTTGATGCTGAAAGATAAAATGTTAATATGTTAATGTCGTGTTAATAAACAAAGACTAAAATATTCCTGTGCATACCTTTAACTAACACAGCACTACAGCTGCCTGCTGTCAGATGCCTGGAGTGTTTTTCTATGAATGTAAAAAAAACTGACGGAAGAGCCACCAGTCACATTGTCCTCAGGAGACCACCCGCTGAGGAGATGGGATGGAGTTTCCATCTCCTTGTCTACCAAGCTTGGCATTTCTGTCATGTTATTACATCCACCAGAGCTTTAACTGCATCAAACCATGTCACGCTTTTCTGTAAGGTGAACCAAGAGCTATTGGAACTCACTTGAACTAGCACAACAGCTTGAAGAAAATACTGGGCAGCTTGTGAAACATTTAAAAACAAATGGATACAAATAAATGCCCATTATAAGAATTAAGTTTTACTTTACAACATTTATAACAAGATACTAAGTCTTTCTTTCCACATTCCCATGGAAAAATTAACTTGTGGAAGCTTGTTTACAGAGGTTACATTTATATAGCAGATTTCATAATGACGTCTCACTTAACAAAGCAAATTCAACAGTTCAATGCTATATTTTAAAGATAAACATCGCATGATATAATCTTCACCCATGCCCTCATTTGTAGAATGCTCTACTATATGAGAGCCACAGTCTTTTGTACTCTCCACCGAACAAAGGAAAGGTGTCACTGTACTTATACTGAGTCATAGGCTGTTTCAGAAAGTACTTGAGTGTTTACTGCTCATCACTCAAAGCTTTCAATAGCACTTTTTCACCGGGTATAGCAGCACTGAGAAATACAGAGTCCACAAGTACCTTTGTAACAACTGTTTCACTTAAGGAAAAAATAAGATCTTTCAGTGCCAGTCAAGAATTCCTTCAAAAACCTCAGATTATTTTGAGAATGTCCTGTGCCTAAAATAAACCTGAAAGTATTGTAGCAATTTCCACTTGGTCACCCACTGATGACAGACACGCTGGAAGCCAGGAAAAGGCATGTGTGAGGATGAATCTGAAGAATTTCTCTAGTATAACAAACAATAAAGGGTGGAAAGAACTAGTCTGGTTTTCACTGTGGGCTCTGTCTGTGAGTGGATGGACATATCTAAGTACGCCTTACAGTGAGAGTGCATTCTTTAGTGCTTGTGGTTACACTTTCTCTTCTTCTCCTTATCCCTGCTTTTAACTGATGGGAGATCCTTACAACACTAAAACCACGCACAAGACTTTTGCATATAAATAGCACAATCTCCTTTGTTACCATGCTTAAGTCGAATTTAAACAAAGAGAGAAAAGGGTCACAGCCAACAATTATTCAAGTGTTTCACAAAACAGTCAACAATTTCTGCTTACAGCACATTTACAGTAGGTCATGTAAACTTATATAAACATTTAGGACAAAACTATAATGCTGCCATCTTATTCTGGGGGTTGAAAAGTTAACATTTATCGATACAAAATATTAACACCCACAAAACCAAATCTCTAAATCCTGAGTCTGGAAATATCAGCCTTGGCAACTGACCCTCAAAAATAATCTTAATTATTTTTGAAATAATGATTAACAGTGTTTTGGATACTGATGATTTCATGTGAATTCAATGAGAAAGAAAACGCCCTGAAGATTAATGCCAAATTATTTGTGGTAATTGCACTGTGTATCTTTCAGTTTGACCTGTGAAACTGGAACAGACATATTAATGGTTCAGATAGGAGCAGTGAAGTGTTCTGGGTTTTAAAAGGAATTAAGAATTCATTTTAAGGCCTGCTAATGATGAATGACCTCATTCGTTAATTGAGGAGGATTAGAGCTCATCAGCACCAGACACAAAGGCACACAAAGACATTGTTGAAAAGGTTAATAATGATGCATTAAATCAACCTTCAAACCACATTAGAAACGATCAGAATCACTTCTGGTGGCGATATCTGGAAGCCTACTGCCGCCAAAGCCCTGAAAGAAAATGTTTGGGTCTGTTGTATTTATTAGAACGACAGTCTTCAGGCGTGACTGACAGGGCCTGACTCTCTGTTAGGATTAGCCCGATGACTGATGGAGAGTGGGGCAGAGCCAACAGGATATGTGCAGGATGTACTCGCAGTCGCTGTCTCCGCCCCAGTGCCAGAGACGTGAGGTGCTCAAAGGAACTGTCCTTGTGACAAACGGACAGTGCTGGAGGGTTCGGAAGAATCCTGCTTCCCTGTTTTCAGGGTAACACCACAAGGATGTAGCGGTTAACTAGATTAACACCAGGATGTTGCTCTATCCCAAAAAAGAACCATGCTGAACAACCTTAACGCAATACCTGTAATTCAGAAGATAATAAAAAGAAACTAATGTTGTTCCTTGTTGTTCATGAGCTAGACAAGATTGAGCCCCAGAGGTATACTCATATTGGGGATCTTGTTTTCCTGCGGTAGACATGATTGCTCAAAGCATGTTAAAGAAAACCTTGATATTTTACCACTAGGCGTCAGATGTGTACAGTTTAGTCATTTTTTATTTGGTTTTGAATTGTGTCCACCAATGTTACAGATTAATGAATTTCCTAAAATTGCAGTGAATACAGAAATCTCTCTACCTTTGTTTTAAGCAGGCATATTGAATTAATGCCCTGCTGCTCCAGCGGTGTAATTTACTGATTTATTTATTGGAGCAAATATTGATTTCTGAACCAGGTAGTACTACTTTAACAGTGCTACGGAATATCTACTAAAGCCACTGAATACTAATTTCCCCTTAGGTATGAAGGTGCTTGTCATCATGTGAGCAACTTTCCTCAAATGTTAAACTAGGTGACTCACCCATTAGTTGGACAGAGCACAGTAACAAATGCAAATCTGTGTTTACTTTGCAGATATCCATCAAGGATGTGTAACTGTTTCGAATGTGTGAAGGATCCAGCATCAGAAATACTAATGGTGTTGAAAATCTGCCAAACCTGTATTCTGTTTTACAAGGAAGAATGCCACAGTTTACAGGCTTCATTTTAAATGTCAAACACTGACCCCACAGGCATTTTTTATACGCGAGCAAAGTCTTGAAAACATTTGACTGAGCATCATATGATTACAAAGTTGTTTAAAAGCAAACTTGCAATGCACTGGCAGGTTATAACAAAAATAATTGTACATTAGAGAGAGAAAAGGGTGGCATGTTTCAAATCTGATGAGCAATTTTACAACTTTTCAACAACAAGTCTTTATAACTGATGCATGTTTTGCAGAAACATGCCAGAGAAGTCTGTGAGAAAGAGTGAAAAGGTTATATTGAAAATATTTCAAAGATACCTGCACTCTCTTGTGGCCCCTAAAGGTATTTTTACTAAAATTATGATGACCCTTGCAGCAGTTTTACAAGGTTAACATAAAAAAGGAAAAACCTGAAAATTTTGACAATTTAACAAGCTGAACCATGAAATTGGTGACAATCTTAGTAAATAAAACCTGTACACCTGATATCTCATCAAGACTAGCAAAGATTTTTCCAGTTATAGTACTCGTTAATCTGTTTTATTGTGAGAAACTTCCTTTGAACTGTAATCCCTGTGTGTTCATTTTCTAATAAATGCAGGAAACGTTTTTTTTATGTAAGCATCTTCTTAAATATACTGCATATAAGCTAAACTGATTCACTTGGAAGATTTTTCTATTCAGGAGCAAGCAGTACTCCTGTATGTGTAAGAATGTATAATTGACTTGGCCTGCCCATATTCTTGAGCATTCTCCGGCTTGCATACTTGAAACACTACAGAATTACTACACTTAAAAATACCACCCTCAAACTGCTTTAAAGACATTAACAGGAATGGAATAACCTGTCATATTTTACACAGGAAAAATAATGCAATGACTGTGATGCAATTTAATTAAGAAAGTGTCTTCTGGCCCCTTAGATCTAGTCAAGTAAAGATGCCTTTCAGGCTGATTCTGTATTAATAAAGGTGTTTAGTCAAAATAAAATGCCATGTTTATAGCAACACTAATCACACTGTCATTCAACGCATCATATTAATTATATGACCTGTGAGTGGCATAACACAATTCATCATGGGAATGGACCTCAACAGGATGTCCATGCTACTTAGCTCAATTCAGATCATTAAGAAAACCATACAAATAAAAATAATTGCACTTAGAATGATCTAAACCTATATAATAAAGTTTTCTCTTAGCAAAATCTAATAGAAGTCTCCCTACAGGCAAAACACTTACAAATAAAAAAGAAATATTAGAGAAATGAATCATTTTACCATCTAATGCTGCATAAATTCATATGCCATTGTTATGCTACCAGCCAGCATTTGCCAACGGTTCTGTGTAAATAAACTGTTCAAATGAAAAAGGTGCTAAAAACCGCCCACTTACCTTTGTACATATCAATACGAAAATCTTTCAGGTTTTGATTTTGCGTCTGTAATACAGTTCTGGGCTCCACTTTGCACTCTAAGGATTCCGTCCTTTATCACAAGAAACAAAGAAACAAAGCGTCACAATTATTCAACTAATTTAGAACATCTGTTAATTCAGCACAGTGCATGCATAGTGCTGGTCCTATCACATTCAGACGGATATAATGAAAAGTTTAAGAAAAAAGTTTAATTCAAGAATGAAAACGTTCTATACAGCTAGCTAAACAACATCAAAGAGAGAGTGATTATGGCAAAGCAAAATAATTACAGAAGAGTATTTGCAGTGAAAATGTTAATTAATATTGTCATAATATCACACCCAATGGCTAATGATTTAGAAAAAGGTCATTTCAGAGAGGGAAATTAACAGTTAATTAATTAAAATTATACACCTATGAATTTACTGCAATTTATGCATCTCGATTTTTAGAGAAAAAAAATGACACATAGGGTCTGACAACAACCTACATAGCCAGTGTGCTACAAGAAACTTTTAAATAACTTCTTAGTTTTTAATTGAGTGAGACAAGCTTATCACATGAACATCTTAACAGATTACAAAGCGGTTAGAGCTAATCTCTCTCATAACAAAGTATAGAGAAAGCTTAAAGAAGGGTTTAGATAGTGTACATTTCGCACAACCAAGATATCAAAAAAGAAGATGAATGAAAGAGAAAAAAAAAGAACAAAAACTGTTTAGAAAAATCTGATTTCATTACAAGTTTTGCAAAAGAAGACCAAGTTTGCATTTCACTGCTAAGCATTGGAGCGGGCAGGAATATTGGCTTGGTGTCTCTCCCTCTGGGAAAGAAAGCTCTGTGTTCTTTCCAATTCTGCACTCTGACCTCTTAATTTTTAAAGATTAATAAATAGGTCAAGGCTTCCCCCTAGAGGGAAAAGAGAAAAATAACTACGAAAGCATGGATGATGAGGAGTGCCATACTGCCTCATTCGCTACCAATTATCGGAAAGCTTCTCAGTTCTGGTACAGGCCACAGCAAGGTGTGATTATGCCCTGTGTGGAATACAGCACCCACACAGTCAGGGACAAGGACAATGACCTTTCAGAAACACCAGCTCACCTTGACAACACATCTTTCGGAGGTGAGAAGAAACTGGGGGACAAAACTGAACATGCAAACTCCACACAGAAGATGCCCTAGCTGGAACTGAGCTGTGAGGCAGCAGCGTTAACTGCCATGACACAGTGCTCCCCTGCACCACCACGCTTCAGAGTCACTCTGTGCCCAGCGACTGGTGGCTCCAGTCCTTGAGATTCAGTGGGTTCCCTGGCACCTGTTTGTCTGATCTGGCATTTCATCCCGAGAGCAAAGTGTGAAGGTTTTCCCAGGCAATGAACAATGATGGAGTTTTTGCAGTCTTATAGGAAAACAGATTATGAGCATTTCCTAAATAATAATAATTCCTTACACTTATATAGCCCTTTTCTGGACACACCACTCAAAGCGCTTTACAGGAAATGGATCCCCTCCACCACCAGTGTGCAGCCCCACCTGGATGATGTGACGGCAGCCATAGTGCGCTATAATGCTCACCACACACCAGCTCTCAGTGGGGAGGAGAGCAGAGTGATGAAGCCAGTTCATAGATAGGAATTATTAGGAAGCCATGATTGGTAAAGGACAGGGGGAAATTTGGCCAGGATGCCGGGGTTACACCCCTACTCTTTTCAAGAAATGCCCTGGGATTTTTAATGACCACAGAGAGTCAGGACCTTGGTTTTATATCGCAACCGAAGGACAGTGCCTTTTTACAGTATAGTGTCCTATCCACTATAAGTTATGGGCACTAGGACCCATACAGACCGTGGGATGAGCGCCCCCTACTGGCCCCTCTAACACATCTTACAGCAGGAACCTTAATTTCTCCCAGGTCTCCCATCCAGGTACTGGCCAGGCTCACACCTGCCTAGATTCAGTGGGCTAAGGAAGATAAAATCAGCATAAGGTTTAAACTATTTTCTTGGATAAACCTGTTAACTCTAGGGATACTCATTATCTAGTGCGGAGACTGACATTAGCAAACAAAACAAACCATTTTAAGAGCCATATTCGTAACCAGAAACCAGTCTTTGCAGGTTCCTCTCCGCTGCTCAAGTGAACAACAACATGTTCAATATCTTGTTTCTAAAACAGATTGTGGTCTGACATAACCTCTTCCTATGATCAGCAAAACGAAAACCATCTAGCTCTCTTTACGCAGTTTTAACTAATTGCAATATGGGGACACTGTACTTCATTCTTTATTTACCGACCACGAGGGTGTTATAGCAATTAGGTCGAATACTTTTCCTGTGAAACATTTACTGTTTCTTTTTTTTTTTACTTTATATAGCTAGGATACTTTCCAGAGAATGTTTAAAGTTTTCGAAAAACAAGAGAAAATAGTGATTTCACAACTGATGGAAAAATTAGGAGTGAATGAGAATGTTAAATACATTGACAGTATACACTATTAACAGGACAATCATATATAAAGTAAATGTAAAACAATAGCGCCGGGTGCACAGAAACAATGTTAGCTGTAAGAGAAAAAAAAACTGTGGTTAAGTAAACGTTGAAAAGTAAAAAATGTGATAACGTGCAATGCCATAAAGCATGCCTTGGATTGGGTGTAAAATACCTGATGAGTGACAGCTGGACAGTCAACAATACAGGCGAGCGGAACACAAACGCGAGTCGCACAGACACGAAATTGCACCTCCGGTTCGACCTTCGCCGATACTCTTGGGTCAGGAGAGCCGAGGCGCCCTGTTACTGTTGCACCGGTCTCAGCCGTGCGTTTGAAGACCGGGACCAACAACAGAGAGACCACAGCAGCAAGCGCACTTACATTTCGGCAAGTTCGCCTTGCAAACTCGCCATTTTCCGTTTAACCCTCTGAAGGGCGCTGTGCAAGTCAGGAGCCCGGCTGCTAGCGTGCATCGGCCCAGCAGAGCCCTGTCCTGCTCCATGCCCGGGGGGTGTTTCTCACAGAGCAGACCCCCTGCCTCCCCCCCGACAGCGTCTCCAGCAGCACTGGGCCGAAGCAGAAACCGCGAGCACTTCCAGGTCACCGGCTGCGGAATTGTTCTGGAAACAATGTAGTTGTTGTTGTTGTTGAGCACCTTTTATCTTTAACAATCAAATACGTGTCACCGTGGTTGAAACTTTCAACTCCCCCCACACCACCCATGCGGTTCTGATATTACCAACATTATTTTACAAAAAGTATTTTAATGAACGTCAGATGAACAGAACTCCCATCTGAGCCTGGTTGTGAAAACTAATATTCATTGGATTTGTTTTAAGTTAATTCTTCGTGAATTGCATTTTTTCTCTCTCACTCAATTCGTATTTTGGTAGGATATACAATGACGAATTATTTTAGCCTTCAGCTTTTTGCAAATATATGCAATATATGCTTCTTTTTTGCAGAACTATCGCATCGATTTCATATAAAACATAATTTGAGAACAGACACCTTTTTTTTCGCATTTCAGGTGGGTTTAATTTTTTAATGGGAGACAGATATTTAAAATGTACTTTTTTTTTAATCCTCCAGTGCATTATCCTATCCTACTTTATGTCCGTTTAAAAACAAAATCATACTTTTAACTTTTTTTTTCTTGGAACAGCGAGACACATCTACGTGCATCTATTTAAAAAAAGAGTTATTGAAAATCGTGTCATGAGCACAACGTCCGCGATTTCACAACTTGTAGGTTCTTCGACATGTGTACTTGTAGTTTTCTTGATTAAAACTGTAGTCACCTGTTTACACTTTGGGAAACAACAAACACAGCGGTACACATCACTTACCGAAAAAGACAGGTTCTCGAGCAGACCGATGGTGATTTTCTGTTTATATCACGGCTAGTAACTTCTATATATTATTATTATTGTTGTTGTTGTTGTTGTTCGGATTTGTGTCCTAACAGAGAAACTTTTTCTTCCGCTGATGTCACGTTTCCACTTGGGAAGACGACGAGAGAAAATGCCCTGGAGTGAGTGAGGTGTCTGGTTGCAGGCAAGTGGGGCGCTGTGAATCCTGAAGAGGGCAGTCGAACGCTTTGGATAAGGAAAGGGAAAGTACACTAGTCAGCCATTATTTGGGCTGAATACTTCAGCCACAAAAGTAAATGGTCTAATACTGCTCACCCTATCCATGCTTTTAAAGTTGAATTCCCTTTTTATTTGAATTCTATTAGAAATTTAAAGAATCAAAAGGCAATGGAGATATTTCCATACAATGAAAATATGTAAAAAGTATAACTTTTAGCTTGTCAATTCCCCTGGGTGTGAAGTGTCTATTTCTGTATCTATTTTAATATTCTGTCTCCTTTTTTTTTGTATTTCTGGGGTTTCAATAAAAACTAATTGAAAATACTTATTTCAAAACTTATTGAAACGTATTTAAAAAACGTATTTTTAAAAAAGTACAGTAGTAAGAAATGAGGCGTATCTCCTTCTTAATCCACCTTAATGTTAACATTATGGGGGATTTGGTCCATCAGTAGATCTGAGCTTTTCCTTTGAATAATTATCTTGAATCTGTCACACTAGAACTAGCTTTTAATTTGCTTAGGAACATTCACAATACTTTACACATTTACATGAACTTACATTGCACCTTGGGTTAAAACGTGCTATACAAATGTAAGTAGTTTAAAGTAGTTTAACATTACTCATAGTTATTCTTGTCCAAAACTATTGTTCATCATTTTTTTGTTTTGAAATGCATTGCTCCTGAGTTTCTCTATTATTTCTAATTATTTTTATTATGTGTGGTAGATATGGGGAAGCTGATAGCACCCACCTGTTATTGTAGCGACCTGAGTATACGGAACAATCGCACATAAACAAAACTACAAGCCTGGATGTCGAAAATGACTTATTCAATTAAGTATGACACAAATAATATGTTAAAGTATATATACATATATATTTCAAATCTGGTATTGTATACATTTCCAACCATCTGTATGAGAAAAGCATTTTTAATTGAAAAAGATAGAACTAGTATAAGATTTTATTGTCCCCTGAGGGAATTTTTTTATGGACACCACGCACTCCCGTACATTTAAATAGAATGCAAACACCAAAAAAAAAAGAAGAAAAGAAAAACATTGCACATTCTTCTATTACAAAAAATAAGAAAAACAATGCACATCACTCTATTGCACATGCACAGTATAACACATAACAACATGTAACATTTATAACGCATCACAAATCATAAACAGTGTATACATATATGAAATCATTGCTTCGGAATTTCTGCTGTATTTTTCGAGAAGGTACGCGTGGTACAAACGGACTCTCCACTCTGCGTGAAGCAGAATCGCAAGAAGTTTGATGAGCCACAACCCCGTACAACGTGACGGCTTTCCAAAGGGGAAACAGGCCGTTTTGTCCTTTCCACCAGCAGGCGGCGCTGTCCGAAGAGCCGAGGACAGTCCCGGCAGCGCCGCTCATCCCAGTGGGGCGAGATTTCAGCCAATCGGCTTGTGCGTTGTTAGCCGGTGGGAGAGTGTGGCAAGTCGGGAAATTGACAAACCTAGCCAGCGAGAAAGAACAGCTTGTAGGGGCAACAATACATATATTCTTGACGTTGTAGCCCAAAATGAGTTCAATTGGCACCGGGGTAAGCGACGAGTCTTTGAAATGTCTGCCATTATGGCGGATAAATTACTGTATCTTAGCAAAGTTGGGCATTTTTAGAACTAAGCGTTTTCCGGCCTTTTTAGCTAGCCGTACGTGAGCGGTGAGGTCCGCTGAATTTCGGTGGCTTCTTGTTGTGCTTTCAGTCATGAACGTGTCTGTCACGGAGAGGTTGTGTCTCTTGTATTTTGTTTTTTATTTTTTTTTTGCTCTGTGAGATACGCTGCAAGGCGCTGATAACGATTGTCCGGAGGACTGTGCGGACTTGTATGCTTGCTGAGTCACTAGCTCGGTCGGCGATGGTGAAAGTGAAAGCGATTGGTACTTGTAGCAATTTGTTAGCAACTCATCATAGAGTCAGTACTACCCATTCCTTCCTATTATATTTATATTTTATTTCCTTCCTATTTTATACATTATTTAATTATAGGAAGGCAAGCATGACTTTGGGCGGGGGGGGGTCTGTGGGAATGATTGGGTTTTAAGTCATGTTACCGTTGCCTGTATTGTTGTTTTACCATTTTGAAAGAGTAGAAATGATAAACAATATTCAACACAAGGTGGAAAAAAAGGCAGAAATGGAAAAGATGTGCTTTGAATTGTTATATTTTAACGTGTAATTCGATATTAAAATTGTAATTCACCGAGTGCAATCAGAGGCTTCTCTATTTAAGCTCGTTAAAACAACTCTGCACAGAAGAGTATTATATTTTTGTCTAATACCTAGATTGGGGCACGGGGATGCCACGTTTACCATTTGTTGTTTTTTTCATTCGTAAAGCAAAATGACAAAGACTTGACGTGAATTAATGTGATTGTCACAGACACATCTCAGAATAATTTACCAATTTGTTTCGAATTATGGCTGAATAGCACAGATGGCACCCATGTGAGCTACACTGATGTGATGTATGAACTCTGAAAGAAGTGGTTTCACAGAGCTCAATCCTCCCGTCTGATTGTGGTTGTACACCTCTGATTTCAGTATGATTTGTCTGCATCTACATTCTCCCCAGACGGGAGAGTTTTTCAAGTTGAATACGCCATGAAAGCAGTAGAAAACAGCAGGTGAGTCTTGTCTCCTCTTTCTGAACTGTGAATGCAGAAAGCAGTTGGTGTTGTGAAGAAAATTGCAAAGGCATGCTTAACGTTTTGTACACCTTTGCTGCTGATGTGCCTGTTAGATACTTAGTGCTGCGCAAAACACATGTGATTGTCGTGAGCTGCTGCATGGCAATGACTTTGAAGACTAGTTTCCACTGGCATTTCAGCGGTAAAACTAAAGTGATGTCATGGCTCCAGGAAATATTGATTCAGTGGGTACAAAGATAGAGAAGTGTGTGTGTGCAGTGTACTATATTAGTCCCATCAGAAGCTCAGAATATTTTTTGATTGTTTGCTTCAGTCCATTGGTTTTTAAGAAGGGACTAAACACCTGGTCTGTTCATACTCTTTGGATTCTCCCAGCCAGAATTTGCTCTCATTGCTGCTACTAAAATGGTTTTTGTTTCCGTTCTGTAGCACAGCCATTGGGATCAGGTGCAAAGATGGGGTGGTGTTTGGAGTTGAAAAGCTTGTCCTCTCCAAGCTGTATGAAGAGGGTTCAAACAAACGCATCTTCAACATCGACCGGCATGTGGGAATGGTAATGTCTGTTTCAGCATTTCACCAAAAAAGGCTAGGCTGCGAGTTGGCATTCTTTCACACTTTTAGATGTAAAATACCCATTAGAAAAGATGGTAAAGGAGCATAAAGATGCCTTTCGTTTTGCCCCACAGGCGGTGGCAGGACTCTTGGCAGATGCGCGATCTCTTTCGGAAATTGCGCGAGAGGAGGCTTCCAACTTCAGGTCCAATTATGGTCATGACATTCCCTTGAAGGTAGGAGATTTTTTTAACAACCATAAAATAGTCCCTAAGCCACCATTATCATCCCATTAAAAAGAATGGTTCATTTTCGTGTAACTTCTGACGAAAGATGTTTAGTCCTTGACCTCTTCATTCGAAAGAGAAGTAGAAACTGACAGAAGTTACCAGTACGCACAGTGACAGATCACATTTACTAGAAGGAAATACCTTCTTGAAAGAAAATGGTATTTTTTTCTGATATTGCTTTGACAAGAGGCAAGATTTCATGTAGAAGATGTATTTATTTCACAGATGCCTTCACACAAGGAAGGCAACATTTGGTAAAAACAGCAACTGAACTGTATTATGTAACTTCTGCACTGTTTATTTTTACAATTTTAAAGAGATTCCGTGTATGGTCGGCTTATTCTGGGGTAGTAGCATGGAGTGATAGTCTGATTACAACTTCTGTCTTATTCTTGCAGCACCTTGCTGACAGAGTGGCCATGTACGTGCACGCGTACACCCTGTACAGTGCGGTCAGGCCCTTCGGGTGCAGGTAATGGGATTCAATCTTTATTTATTAACAGTGGCGAATAACTACTTTAAAATACACTGTACTATGTGCCTGTGTAAGTAAATGACAAAGTTGAACTGAATTTCCATGTGTATTGTAGTTTCAGCTGTAGGCAAATCTAGTAAAATACAGTATCTGGGGCTGTGATGTACAGTTAGAATATTGTGAAAAGAGAGACATGGCTGCTATAATAAAGAAGCCTTATAGTTCTGTTTAAGTCCAGCAATCGGCCCTAGTAAACTAAAATTAAATGAAAATTGGCATTAAATACTTTAGTGAAATGCTTGGTCTTTCTGTAATTATAGTCTTATGTTTTTCTATCTCACACAGTCTCTTGTAGATTTGTCAGTGAGTTCCACAGTTGTGGTGCTGCTGCACACGTAAAGGCTCTGCTGTTCTGTGTGTGGAGCCTGAATCAGCAGAGTAAAACAGCCTGAATCAGCAGATATCGAATAAAGGGCTCGATTATAATCATGCAGTCGGTCTTTAAGATAACTTGGAGCTAGACCATTCAGTACTTTCTGGGTGAGCAGGACAAGCCTGAAGTCTACTGTAATTTAACAGGGAAACAGTGTAACTTACACAGGGCAGGAGTTATGTACCGATGCGGAGTACTTCTCATTAGCATGTCTTCATTCCTTGTACAGGAAGCCAGTGTAGTACTTTAGAAGATACCCTGGTGAATAAGGCATTACAGTAGACCACTCTGACTGTAACTCTCCTTGCTTGTTCAGCTTCATGCTGGGGTCGTATGACGAAGACGATGGTCCCCAGCTGTATATGGTGGACCCTTCAGGAGTTTCTTACGTAAGCAGGTCCTTTGTTATGCCAGATAAGTGGAACACTGAAGGTCTGGACAGATTTTAATGTCTTATTCCGTTATCTTGTAATCTTAATAGTTTTCCATTGTCGCCAAAGAAGGCTCCACAGCCGAAACGTGTTTTCTTTCTTCTTTTTTCAGCATGGAATAAACCTATTACTTGTTCCTGTTAGTGATGTTGAGTTTCTAAAGACAATATTGACAAAAGTGTCCAATTTAGTGTAACTTTCATGAGACATTATTGCACTTTTCTCATTTTTGCTTTCAAGTAAGCTTTTTGTACTTCTGTTTGTTTTAAAACATTTTTTGTACCTTGAAATTAAAAGCCTGCATCCAAAATAAGTTATATAAACTTGAAAGGGAGGTAAGAGAGACTGAGATTTGTCAAGATTGCAGCAGATGGCTGGCCTCCCTCTGTGTCCCTCTTGGGAGTTTTTCAGATGACAGTTTGGCGTTTGACTGTGATGCACAGCTAAGGGCTCACATGTGAAGACATGTCCCTGAAGGAGTAAACTCCACTTTCCTCCTTTGGCACTGACATGGACATAAATTACCCTGGGGAGTAACTGCACTGGGCACGATACATGATACTTGCTGATTGGACAAGAACACTGCTGTTAGAAATGCCCATCATTTGTCATCTTGCTGTAAAGGTTCTGCATGCTTCTTGTATTAAAAAATAAATGTCCATTGTTGGATGGTTAAGGAAATGCACACTTTTGTTTTAAAATCAGGGTTACTGGGGATGTGCTATTGGAAAGGCAAGACAAGCTGCAAAGACAGAGATTGAAAAACTCCAGGTACTGTACATTTTTATTAACAGACATTTTGACTTTATACCCATGCCCCATTTGTATTTAATTACGCTTTAATATAACTATATATGTGACAAAATATATTTGCAATTGGGGCTTTTTGTAATCTTGTGAGAGCCGAGTGATCCACTCCACCTGCCAGTCTGGTCAGGTCTCGGTGATCTCTGCCACCATGTGGGCACCTGGAAAGCCACGAGAGCCCTGGCTTCTGATTCCTAACTGTACACCGGCGCTTGCGGAGATCCAGTCACGCGATCTGGGCAGGAACACAGGACTCGCAGGCTGATCCCCGAGTGAGATCCTTCGCTTCCTGAGCCTCGGGTGTTTTTAGGTTTACTAATGAAACAAGACATCCTGTTATACTCTGGCTGGCACAGTGTTATTCCTTATTGCAGATGAAAGAACTGACCTGCAGGGAACTGGTAAAAGAAGTGGCTAGAATGTAAGTCCTTTTTTTTCCCCCCAAATGTCTTGATACAAGCTTTTTGTAAAGTCATCCAGTCAAATATGTATAAAACCAATATAACCATATGAGTGGTATTGTAATTAGAACATGCCAAATCTGATTTAAAGTGAGATTAGCAAGGTGGAAGTAGTTTGCCTGTAAATCTTCAACTTGACACCAAAAATATTTTGTTCTTATGGTCTGAAAGAGTGCTATTTAGCTATTTTTATATAGTAGCGGGGGGTTCAGAAAATACTTACTATAGTGGTTTGCTCTTTAATTTCAGAATCTACATTGTCCATGATGAAGTAAAAGATAAAGCCTTTGAACTGGAACTCAGCTGGGTTGGAGAAGGTAGTTTAATTTTGATCCTTTATTTGTCTTTACACTTTTATATTGTTATTATAATGGCCTTCCAACAGCTCGTCTTTGTAAATTTAGAGAACAATTGGTTATATGTTTTTGCGGCATACAATTGTGCTGAAAAAGACAGTGCTGCCAGGCTATAAGCATTGCAAAAATAATGAGCGTTCTCTAACTGCCTGTAAGTGTTGTCATGCTGCTGAGCTAATTTTTGTTTTATGATATTTGAGGATCAGGTGTACAGTTTACTGTTTACAGATATAACACTTTCAAATTATTGTGTAAGATTATGGATGGATTGAAAATTGGAATGTTGAAGCAGCTGTATTGTGTGTGTGTGGTAAAAAACACTGTACCTTTGTATCGGTCTTGCAGTCCTCAAAGAACCACTTATCAAATCACGCAGTCCTTGGGTGTTAGGTGTCGTTTAGTAAGGCTGATGTTTGCAGAGACTTGTGAAGATGATCTGAAGATGTAATCAATTAAACTTTATAACCATGGTTATTGGGTGCGGTTTACTACCTATGGCTAAAAGTTTCATGTGATTCTTTTCTGTATTTTTCCAGTAACAAAGGGCAGACATGAACTGGTACCGAAAGACATCAAAGAGGAAGCCGAGAAATACGCTAAAGTAAGCATGCCAAGAAAGATAAACACATATTGAAGGTATTGAGCTATTCACTTCGCATTTCTAACACATGGTCCTTTCTTTGCAGGAATCTCTAGAAGAGGAGGATGAATCTGATGATGATAATATGTAAAGCACTCTGTTCAGCATTTTCTTTAATGTTTTCATAAAAAAAACTATCTTAAATAAAACTGTTGCAATTGATTTTTTCTACATTCCGTTTATTTTTTACTGACATCATTCTGTATTTTACCAGTTTTTAAGCAATCAAAGGATACGAACAAGATGAAGCTTGTTTAGTCGCTAGTAAAGTGAACCAAGGATCTCATCCAGCTGTTTCCTAAAGCCAAGATATTGGCTTTGTAGCTACAGCATGACAGGGTAGCTTGTATCTTGTGATCAGTTTTCTATTTTGTGTTGCATAGCTGACTCTGAAATAGACCATGACTTTGTGAATACTTTAAGGATTTAGTTCTTTTAGTCTGTCAGAGTAGGACATCCATTAGAGTTTGGGAATGTAACTGATCACTCTTCTCTTAACATACTCTAATGATATATTTTTTTATAATACCATGATACAGATTATCTATATTAGGTGACATTGTAAAATTTACTGTAGAACTTTTTGTTTGCCCTTTTATCGTTGCTTTCCAGAATTGTAGAAGGAAATGCCAACGTTAACTTTTTCATAGGGGACACACCAAGTCTAAAGAAGCTGTCTATCTTATTGAGAATACCTGCAATACTTTTCAATTGTCTACATTCCATTTCATCTGCCATGTGTTTTCTAAAACTTGATTTGAGTTTGTCTTTAACTGTCAATTGGTAATTTAATTGGAAAATGTTGTCAGAATTACAGAAAACCTATTAAATGTGAAGGCATTAATATTCCACATGTCAAAGAACAGAAGATTTAGCTCTTACTTTAAGTAACCAAGTGGTGTATAGAACATGCAGGCAATAGTACTTTCTTTTATACATTTCTAGTTAACCTTTAGCCTTTTCCTAATGACCACTGGAATATGATTGCTTTCACAAATTTGTATGTGGCTCCCTTAGGTGGTGCTGTTGTTTAAGAAAATTCTGGGCAGAGATTTACCTAAACACCTGTGGGCTAACTACGGCTCGCCAGCCAGTTTAAACCAGCCCTTGAAGTAAAAAAGAAGAGTCAATATTTGCCATATTCCACCTTGTTTGGTGCTGTTTTTTTCTTACATTTCATTATTCTTGCGTTAGAGGGCGCACGAACACTTTACCACGGTGGCTCCAAACTGTGCATCGCGCCGCCTTGGGGAGGTGCCATTGTCGGTCAGGGGTGTTGCAGGTATCGCCAGTCAAAGAAGGTTTATTACAAGCAAAACCCACTGTTCCTGCACACAATGTTGGAGTCGCACGCTACCTAGCTAGATTGTGTCACACGACCCTAGGCAAGACTTGGCAGTCTGTAAGCAGCGTACCAGTTGACCGCGGCTTCGGTGTTTCGTGTTTCTATGAGTGGTCATTTTGTGAGTTTTCTGTTACACGATCGCAATGGAGAGGTTTTCAAACATGAGTAAAAAATGTGAAGGACATAGAGCTTAGTTCTAAAGAGAAATGGAAACCAAATACAGAAAGTATGACGGCAGCTTCTTGAATTTCTGTTTCGCGTGCACAATCGTGGACACTGAAGAATGTCCTCAGTGTGTTGTCTGCCTTCAAGTGTTGGCTGCTGAGAGCATGCTCCCCAGTAAATTGAAATGTCATTTGGAAACTGTTCACAGTAGTTAGATAAGTCTCGTGAGTATTTTTCGTGCAAGTTAAATTAATGAACAGAAAGCTGCTTTTTCTAACCAAACTACAGTCCCCAGCAAAGTTCTTCTTTCATCATACAAAGTTGTGTACCGAGTAGCATAATGCAAAAACCCTCATACTACTGGAGTACCAAGGAATAAGCAACAGAGCTGTGCGAACTCTGCTTCCCTTTGCAATTTCCTGCCTTTGTGAGGCTGGGGTTTCAGCACTTGCAGTTATCAAATCCAAGTACAGATCAAGAGTCAATACTGAGAAGGAGATGTGTGTTGCCATTTAAAAAATATTACCCAGTATTTTTATTGAATTATGTTAATTTATTAAACAAGCCCACCTACCCATTAAGAGGCACAAACAAAAAGACATTGTATTTTTTCCCCCTTTTGTAAAAACATTTGTTAAATTTTTACTTTTTCCAAGTCATTTTATTTGCATTTTACAAAGATGTTTACTTTCTAAAAAGTCATCATTAACCAAAATATTTGGATTTGAAAACGATTAAAAATAAAAATTGGATCATGTGGAAAATTTGACAGGTCAAGGGAGGCATGGACCCAAGCCGTTTGGGAACCCCTGCTTTACCAGTTTGATTCACCAGTCAGAGTGGACCCATCGAGGGAACCTGCGCCAACATGAGGGGATTGAAGAAGCAGAAAGTCGACAGTGAATGCAGAGCGTTCAACAAAGAATGGACTGCAAAATACTTCTTCACAGAGGTTGGAACAAAGGCTATACGTTAAATTTGTAAGGAAAGTGTCGCAGTGTTCAAAGAATACAATCTCAGTTGGCATTTTTATACCAAACGTGAACTATGCTAGCAATCTGTCATGTGAGGAGTGGGCTAATAGAGCTTCCAAACGGGGCGCTAGTTTACAGACTCAGCAAAATGTATTTTTCCGCCCTTCTACTATCCAAGAGGCCAGCACAAAGGAAAGCTACCTGCCTGCATCTAAAATTGCTTAACAAAGCAAGCCGCTCTCTAAAGGGGAGCTTTTGTAGGAATGTATGATAGAAACCGCAGATTTTCTTCATCCAGAGAGCAAGAGCAAATTTGAGAAAGTAAGTTTATCACACAGAACAGTGACCCATTGGGTCGAGGTACGTCTTCAAGTGAAGACTTGGCTTGTGAGTTGAATATCAAGTTTCATTCAGTTTTTTTAATATTTAAAATGTTTTAAATATTTTTTTCTCTCTGGTTATCATTAACCTTGAACTAATAAGCCTATGTTGGATTTTAAGCTTATATAGGGCATAGGAACAAGTAACAGGTTTATTCCATGTTGAAAGGAGAAGAGAGAAAACAACGTTTTGGCTGTGAAGACTTCTCCAGGTGTGAGCCTGAAGAAGGCTCAACTGAAGAAGGATTCACAGCCAAAAAGTTGTTTTCTCTCTCCTCTTTTCAGCATGGAATAAACCTGTTACTTGTTCCTTTACAGACTACGCATGCTGATGCAGCTACCCACCTGAACTACTTATATAGGGCATAGGCTATCTGTAACAGCAGCCTGAAGTGGCCCTCTATTCAGTTTTAAAATTTTATGTGGCCCTTGTGCCAAAAACGTTTGCCCACCCCTGACCTAAAAGAATGGAAAACAGCACTAAAGGCATCCAAAAGGGTGTTATTGATTTCATACTTGACCATTAATGAGAATAATGGTCTGTTGAAAATTGTCTAGCTACGCAAGCAAAATAATCCCATTTCAGTGAAATCTGGCTAAAGAGATATTTATAAGATAAACAGCAGTGTGGAGATTACATGGGCTCAAATTAAAGACAAAATTAAATTAAAGATCAATTTAGAGTTTCTTAAAATTACACTGATAAATGTTGGTATAAATCTTTTAAATAGCATTTTAGTTATGAGCACCCAGTGTAAGGAAACTGAACCTGACAATTAAGACAGATAAGAAGCAGTCTTTGCTCAAATGGAAAATGGATTAAGCAAAAGAAAATAGTTTTTTTAATTCTAAGCAACACTCTGGTTTCAGCACAATACAAGAAGCCGGGCCAGATTCTGAAAACCTTTAGAAAATGCATGCTTGCAGCTAAACAAGGTTATTTAGTGAGGAACTAGAATGCTTAGTCACGTTTTGAAAGTAAGATTCCATTAAATGTACAGCTGCAGTCTTAGTACAGAAACATTACACTGCAAGGACTTGAACCTTGAACTGCACAAGCAGAAGTGCCAACCACCAGTGTAGCACACCACAAGACGCTTGCAGTACATAAAATGAAAATCATCAATTTTCATGACTCTATGTTAACTAAGGAGGGCATAGAATTATATACTCAGATCAGCTTGGAAGGAAAAATGTTCAGTTTTAAAAAATGTCTACAGTACACTTAACTCACACCTATGTGTGTTACTCTTCGATATATTTTAGACCTAATGTTTAATGTATTAGGAATATCTTCATGCTCTGTGCCTGTGGGTGGAGTAGGAGGTCAGTGCAGGAAGCAAGGAAGAGTGTTGCCCAGCCCACAACACTGAATATCACTCCAGCAGCCTTACTGCTGTTACTCTCAGAAAGACGGAGTTTGGTTTTCTAAACCTACTTCCACATGCCCGCCACTGCCAGGACAATACTAAACCCAACTTACTATGAAAATATGCCATGCTTATGCTTAGAAAATGGATGGATGAATTCCTATGTGCATACAGAGTAATTTGTGCAGAATTTCCTAGCTAATGGACACAGCTGGGTTCAATAGGAGAAATTTACTTCTAGAACAAACAATTCCCCAATGTCCTCAAGTAACAGGTTCAGTTGGCTGCCATTTCTAATTTAATATCTATTTTTTCAGTTTAAACAAAAATGCATCTTTTTTCTTGCACGTGGCCTAAGGTCAGAGCTTCTCCACTCAATGCATAAGCTGTTCTCTCTTACGTAACTACAAGATTAACGATCACTCCATCCAGTGTCCACCAACGTGCACTAGGACTAATCTGGTTATGTGTACTAACTACAGCATCTGACAACAGCTGCATTAGAAATGGTGAGATCGTGTATCTTTAACCCAGTGAAGGGATGTCTACAATCTTTGAAGTTCCTTAAATACTAAAACAAAATTACATTCCATGTCAATGTTAAGAATGGCAACAAGAAAACACTAAAGGACTGGTTGCAGCCCAAAATTAAGCCTTTTGATTACTGCATGAGAAAATGGCAAGTTCTTTAAACCGTAGAGCTGTCAGTCTGAATATGCACAGTAATTTGCTTCTGTGCAACAGCAAACTGAATCTGTACAAGAGGTTCAACAGCAGTATTACTGTACTTATCAAACTCAAAAGAAATTATAATGGTTAAAACCTAATTCACAGTGAGTACTCAACTGCAACAATCAAGATTTTGTAAAGTCTTCCAGTTCTGAGTCCAGAATGTTAACCACTACTCCACACTGCTGCCCACTGTGGG